GCACTTAGAAAAAAAAAGAAGCACTTAGATAAGAATCTACCCAAACATGTGAACATGTGCCTGCTGGGAACAGCAAAACTACAAAATTCTGATGAAAACAAAGACTTAAATAAATGGAGAGAGATTCTGTGTTCATTGATCATAAAACTCAACATAGCAAAGATGTCAACTCTCCTGAAATTGATGTACAGGTTTAATATAACTTAACATAATTCCTATCAAAATCCAGGAAAGATTTTTTTTGTAGCTATAGACATGACTATTCTAAAATTTATGTGGAAAATCAAATGAGTTAGAATAACTAGAATGATTCTGAAAAACAGGAATAAAGTGGAAGAAATCATTCTTATGATTTCAAGACTTATTGTATAGCTACAGTAATAAAGGGTGTACATTAATTGGAAGAGGGATAGATAGAAACATATAGAGAATACAGAAAGCACCACATACAACTACATCTAAATTGTTTTTTTTTTACAAAAATGCAAGAGCAACTCAGTAGAGGAAGAAAAGTCTTACTCTTTTCTCATGATTGTGGGAGAGCAATTGGATACCCATTTAATCCAAATTAAAAGATGCTTGCTCCTTGGAAGAAAAACTATGATAAACCTAGATGGCATATTAAAAAGTAGAGATGTAACTTTGCCAACAAAGATCTGTCTTGTCAAAGCTATGGTTTTTCTGGCAGTCATGTATGGATATGAGAGCTGGACCACAAAGAAGACTAAATGCCAAAGAACTGATGCTTTCTAACTGTGGTGCTGGAGAAGACTCTTGAGAGTCCTGTGAATAGCAAGAAGATCAAACCAGTCAATCCTAAAGGAAATCAACCCTGAATATTCATTGGAAGGACAGATGCCGAAGCTGAAGCTCCAATACTTTGGCCACCTGATGTGAAGAGCCAACTCACTGGAAAAGACCCTGATGCTGGAAAAGATTGAGGGCATGAGGTGAAGGGAATGACAGGATGAGACGGTTGGTTGACATCATCAACTCAACGGACATGAGTTTGAGCAAACTCCCAGAGACAGTGAAGGACAGGGAAGCCTGGTGAGCTGCCATCCATGGGGTCACAAAGAGTCGGATACAAATGAGTGACGGAACAAGAATTGGATATCTATAGGCAAAAGAAGCAAACCTCAGCTTACATCTCATATTTTATTTTAAAATTAGCTGAAAATGCTTTATAGATTTAAAAACATAAAACCGTAAAATTTTTGGAAAAAAAATGTGAGAATATTTGGGGGACCTGGTGCTTGATGGAGAGACAGTAAGCATAACACCAAACACACAGTCCATAAAAGACAAACTTGACTAACTGGATTTCATCAAAATGAAAAACTTACAGTCTGCAATAGACTGCTGAGAAAATTAACAAAGAGTTATAGACTGGGAGAAAATATTTGCAAATAACATATCTGACAAAGACATATCTAGAATACACAAAGATGTCTCAAAACTCCTTTTTAAAACAACAAGCAATCCACTTAGAAAATGGGCAAAAAACATGAAGGGACATTTTACCAAAGAGGATATACAAATGGGAAATAAACACATGAAAAGATGTTCAATATCACTAGTCATTTAGGAAATATAAATAAAGACCATGATGAGATATCCCTACACACCTATTATAAGAGATAAAATAACAAATGGTAACAACTGCTAAAGGTTGGCAAGAATGCAGAGAAACTGGATTTGTCATACATTGCATATGGGAATGTAGAATGGTAAAGCCACTCTGAAAAACAGTTTGTCAGTTTCTTAAAGAACTAAACAACACACCATACAACTCAGCAATTCCACTCCTAGGCATTTATCCCGGAACAATGAAAACTTATATCCATACAAAACTGTGTACATTATATTTATAGAAGCTTAATTTGTAATAGCTCAAAACCTGAAAACAACCAAAATGTTCCTTAATAGGTGAATAAGTTAAAAACTGGTATATCCATAGTATTATGGAACACTATTCAACAGTTAAAAAAAAACAAAGAATGAACTATTGATACACGAAACCTCAATACATTAACTCTGCAACTTCATGAGAATTTATAAGTATTTATAATAATTTCATGTGAATTTGTAATTATTATTTCATTGGAATAATGTATTTATTGTATAACATACACACTTTCTCTTCTTCATGGACTTGGCCATGTGGCTTAGTTTGACTAATGAAATGAGAGTGGAAATGTCCAGTCTAATAATATATCAGAGTAGCCTTCAGCTTACAGTACTAAAGATAAAAGGCTTTTTACCTCTAGATGGGCCCCTCTCTAGCGTCGTCATAAAGGCAGCTGCAAACAAGAGCTGTGTTCAGGAACTTTCCAAAGGTTCTGCTCTCTAACACGGCAAAAAGAAGGACCTATCTTTAAAAAAAAGAATGAAAGAAAAAAATCATTTTTTTTTTTAAGTCGAAACGACCCCAAACGAGATGAAATCGAAATTGTGACCCCCGTGTGATAATTTGAGCAACAAATTGAGTTAACTTCATTGCAGGCGCACTGTCCTTGTGAAAATCTTGCCCCCTTGCAAGCGAATAAAGCATCTTTTATTCAAAGGATTGTCTGTGAGATTTTTGACAAACAACACAGGAGATGGTTAACACGATTCCTGTCTGATGGCACCAGAGTTGGCTACACGATTTTCGAGATTCTCCCGGAGAAGGGTCCATCCCAAGTTTTGCTCGGCGGGCCCTTCCTCTGCTCTTTGTGAGCGGCTAGCGGCTCCAGGTTAAGAACCCGCCTACCGATGCAGAAGACTCAAGAGATGTGGGCTCGATCCCTAGGTCGGGAAGATTCTCCTGGAGAAGGAAATGGCAACCCATTCCAGTATTCTTGCCTGGGAAGTCCCATGAACAGAGGAACCAGGTGGGCTACAGTCCGTGGGGTCGCAAAGAGTTGAACATGGCTGAGCTCGCGTGCGTGCATACATACATAGAGGCTTCGGGAAGGGGGAAAGGTGCTGGGGAGGGGGTACATTGATAAGCTTGGTCACTCTTCGGCAGATTGGGAAACTGCAGATCTGGAAGTGATAATCCGAGGTCATCTGATTATGGAAGAGCGGATCTTCTATGTGTATGTAATTTCCATTACAATGAAAGGAAATTTACCTATTTATATATATATCTCACAAACGGTGATATAATCATTGAAAGGAAAAACAGTGACGATGTTTAAGAAGTGAGCAGAGTGGCGCAGCGGAAGCGTGCTGGGCCCATAACCCAGAGGTCGATGGATCGAAACCATCCTCTGCTAAGGGGGCTTTTTTACATCTGATTGCTTTCGCTAAGGGTCGGACGCGACTGAACTGAACCGATTTTCGCTAAACTTTATTCCAGCCAGGATACAAGAATAGAAACCAAGTCAATTTCTACATCGTCCATGTTTAATCAATAAAAATTCATGAGTTTGATAGTCCTTTAGTTTGGGTTGTTTCCCGCCTTACTTTAAAATCCCACGATTCTCCCACTAGGCAATTCCAAAACTCTTCTTATCTGAAGTGGCACACTACTCCGAATTGTAAAATTCCTTCCACCCCTGGTGTCCAGCAGAAAAACAATTGGAAATATCCTTTCTGTCGAGGTGGTCTTATATGTTGTATGTGACCTCATGGAGAAAGAAGTGATAAATTTCATATTTGCTTCTGTTACATCTTCCAGTAAAGAGGTTTTTCGACTTATCTACTTAAGATGTTTTGATTGATTGCATTCTATTAGTAAATGCAAATATAAATTAACTCCCAAATTTACTTATAACAGATTTGTGGTATCACTAAATATTAAAATTTCAGATTTCAATGTTCATACTTGTTTGGTACAGACTACTATAGTAGGGTTAAAGACTTTAAGCATAAACATACATTATATTGGCAGAAGATTCTATAAAAATGCAAGTTTAAGGAGAAAGAGATCGATGAAATGGGAAGTGTCTAGACCCATTTTTGGACGGTGTGGGTTTTGAAGGGAACCCTCTCTCCGAGTTCCTTAACTTAACCTTGAAATAATCTTTCTTCAAAGAGTTGTCTTCAATCCATGCCAATTACATTATTAGGAATTGTTCTAGAAATCTTAAAACGTTGTTTTGTAATTTCTCAGAATGTTAGTCCCCTAGTTCACCCTGACTTAGTCTGAATATTGAGCCTCAAATTAAATCTCCCACTCCTTTGCTCCCCTCCAAAAGCCTCGACCGCACTGGGCTAGGTGAGGATCGCGAATGAAGAGATAGTCTGGGTGGCTGAACTAGCGACTAAGCCGGGTGCCTGCGGAGGCGCTCAGGTTGGCGGTTGGCAGACAGGTAATCCCTCTGGCTCAGTCCGAAGCCTCGAGCCCCCTCCAGACTGCTGCAGCGCCAGTAAAGCAGTACGAACAATCGGAGGGTAAGCCGGATTCAGTCTCCGGGAGGCTGCGTCTGGAGTTTGTCATCCAGGAGGCAATGACTGACCCCCTACTGGCTGCAGGAACGAAAAGGCAAAGGAAAGAAGTGCGGGAATCCTCACCCAGCAAATCCCACTTGAGTTGCTTCCGGCCGCTGGCGCCAAGAATGCAGTCTGGGCTGCACAGGTCCTCGCGTCCGAGTCTCCAGTCCTGCGCTCCCGCGAGCTCCCCCAGCCCGACTCACCCTGCGGGGCTCGGACTGCACTCATTACTCCGACTCCAGGGAACAGGAGGGCGCATGGATCCGGCCCGCCGTCCGCAGCCAGGCCCCTTCCCGCCGGCCGCTGCGGGAATCTGGAGACTCCGCGCCTGCCCAGCTCTAGCAGCGCGCTTTCTCTCCAATCCCTCTCCGCCTGCCGCGCGCTGCAACCTGGAGAGGAGAGAACAGAGGCCCGAGCGTCCAGCCTCTGCCTCAAAATAGCCGAGCAGCCCACCCCGACCGCCGACATCCTGCGTGTCCTGTTTTCACAGGCTGCTGACTTTCGGATGCCGGACCTGGAGGATGTGAGGCGCCCCGAGCCCCTGCTCTTTCCTCGTGCCGGGAAGCCAACCGTCATCCGAACACTGCGCACTTCGACCGCGGCTGGGTCGTCGGAAACCTCGGAAGCGGAAACCCTAAATCCAAGTCACCGACTCCGCTTCATTGATCCGCATGGGCAGTTACCGGGGCAAGCTGGGACTTTCGCCATCATCCCCAGCAGAAGGGCGCACAGACTTGTCGGAGAGGCCAATGAACCGCCGGCCAACTCAGTCCCTTCATCAAGTCTACCGGATTCAGCACGTCCATCGTGCCCACCCTGCCCCTCGACACAGACCTGCGAGGAGGCCGCCGGACTGGGTTCCTTCCAACCCCACCGTGTGGATGGTCAATGAGGCTTGGAGGCGCTTTCCCATGAAGAGATGCCGGAATTCCATCATGGGGCCTCTTCCTTCAGACTGGTGGGAAGGTTACTTCCAGCGGAGTATCTGGTCTCTGCGGCACCCCAGGGCAATATGGAGCCCGGTGACCATCAAGATCGCTCCTCCTGAGCGGACAGTGCCCCCCTCCGCTTCCCCAGCAGAGGTAATCAACTCTGCAGGGTCCTCGCCTTCTGAGAGGCTCCCAGACCCTTGTGCAAAGGAAACGGTGCTGCGGGCCCTCAAAGAGTGCAAGAAGGGGAAAGTGAGGTTGGAAGAACCACTGTTTCATGAGATCTTTGACTGTAAGAGAAGTATTCCAGAGACCAGACCGTCTGCATTTAAACCTCTGGTGAGAGAGGGAGTCCTCAGTTCTTTTGTGCCCAGGCCTGGGCCTCTGAAGAGAAGCCTCAACCCTTGGAGCTCAGATCACAGCTTGAATAAGAGGCCCAGTTGTTCCTCCATGGACTCCTTGACCAGCACACACACAGGCAACTCCCTTGACTCCAAAAGAAATGCTATCACAAGCTCTTACAGCTCTTCTCGAGATTTCTCAGAATCTTGGAAGAAAAGTATTCCCAGTGAATCACTCCAGATACCAGAGTGGCCAGTAAAAAAGAAAGAAAAAGGTCATCAGTCTCACTCTCCATTCCCACTGGTATCAGACGAGTCCCCAGAAACAGCTGGCAGCTCTGGACAGCAAAAGCAGATTCCACTGCTTCCATCTAGCCCTGAAAACCTGCTGTCTCTCATTCCACCTCCCCAGCTTGGTCATCCAGTCCCTGAAGACCTGGCCTTAGGGAAGAAAGCTGGACTCCAATCGAGCAACAAAGCCAGAGAGAATACAACTGAGATCACCACAGACTCTGTCCCTGAGACTAGGTCTGGTATTCAGCCTTCCCTGTCTCTCACCCTGCCTTCTGCAGGCACAGCTCCAACCCAGGGCACTGATCCTCAGTTGGAAAGATTAAATAAGTTACAGAAGTCTCCAGGTCCACCGGCCTTCCCACAACCCACTGAAGAGGTAATCAATGCAGCCCACTCACCTCTGACAACAGCAAGCCTGCCATGCCCACTTGGGTACTCACAGTCAGAGCCACTTTCAGGCATCTCTTCGGACTCAAAACCCCCAGCTACTTTCATCCATCTGACCCCTGTTTCTCCCACATCATCAGTCACTGGCACCACACGGCTACCTTCGACTTCTCAGGCTGCTGCACACCTAGACTCATCTGCTGTTATCCCTACAGCCCCCGCTACGCCAAGTACTTCGCTTAGACTGATGAGCAGCCCAGCTCCCCATGCTCCTGCATCTTCTGCTGTTGCAGAAGATGTGCCTCCTGTTGCAGCTTCTGCTGACCGCATGTCAAAACCCATTTTGGGGCTCCCACCCAATAGTGAGACTGGGACCTCCTTATACTCTAGAATTTCAGCCACAGCTGCTCCATCTTCAGCTCCGGGTACCTTAACTCCCACTTTCAGGCCTATCTTTGGCAGTGTAAGACTACTTAAAACTATGCCCATGATAGCTCCTTTTCCTTTCAAGCAGGCCTCTCCTCCACCTACCCCTGCTTCTACCCACCTCTTCCATGGCCTGGTCAAGGACACCTCTGTAGTCATGTCCACCACACGAGCCAGCACATCCAAAGACTCTTTTAAGCCACCTTTGGATTTTGGTGTAGTGAATGTTACCAGTACCATGGGCAACACTTACTCCATCCCTTCCACTTGCCACACTTTCCTTCTTGGGGCTGCCTGTGCCTTCAAGGCCAGTTTCTCCCCAGCTGCAGGCTGCATTTTGCCACCAAGCCAACGTCCTACCATTCCTACTGTACACACAGTCACTATCTTCAGCCAGGTCATTCCCAGTGCTGTCCAAATATCCCCTACCAGGAGCACTGCCAATTTTAGAGCTAGTTCTCTGTCCACTTTAGCCCTAGGAAACCCCAATCAGCCTGCATTGTCATCCAGGATCTCCAGTTCAACCTCAGCATTCACAATTCCCTTGGGGTCAGGCCCAAGGTCACCCTTCCCACTATCCCTGGGAGCAACTCCCCAGCCTGCATTTGGGATAGCATATGGGCAGAAGCAAGGAGCCCCCCAACCAGCCCTTGGCCCAAGCTTCAGTAGCTCTCTCATTTTTGGAAACTCAACAGTGGCATCCTCAACCCCAGCACAAACTCTCACTCAACCATCCTTCAACAGTCCCACTCAGTCAGCCTTTGGAGGTTTGGCACCATCAGCCTCCACCTTTCGTATCCCTACCAACCTCCGGCCAGATGTTAACAACACTCCAATGGCTATTCCCTTTGGTCAGGCTAATACAAATGGTTTTGGAGTTGTTACCCCAACCCACCGGACTGGGGCTTGTGGCTCAGTGTTTGGTAGCACAGCCCCAAGACCTTTTGACTTTGGGGGATTAGTAACCCCTATGGACTGTGGGGAGACTGGGGTCAATGTGACTGCTCCAGACATGAGTTCCAACTCCAGAGCATTCAGCACTGTAGCAGTGCCTAGTGGGACAGCTAGCACCATCACACCCTTGGGTAAAGGCTGGGGCCCCAAAAACCAGGGCCTGACCAGCCAGGGCACACCTTTTGCTTTGGGGAGGGCCAACATTTCTGCAAGAAAAGCTATGTTTAGGGGCCCTTCCATGGATCCCTTTGCTCAGAGTGCTCCTGTCCTTGGACCAGTTAAGGTAGGCAGCAGTTTTGGCTTTGGGATGCATTCTTCACCTCCCCAGGGCTCTGTTGGAAAAGGATCTTTCAGATCGCCAGCCCCATCATTTTCCATTGGCACAAAATCAAAAACCTCAAGGAATAGGGAGCAAGGGCATTCTCGAAGGCATCATTCCCATAAGAAATAACCTGTGTTCCTTGCCATTCATACTGTGATGTGGACCTCAGCGTAGTGAATTGCCTCAGCATCTTCTAAGTCTCTACAGCAAAAATACCTGAGTTCTAAGGTGAGAGTTTTGCACATTCACCTTGTGGTCCTAATCTACATTCTAGAAGACGATGAAAGACTAAAGTATCACTGATAATAGCAGAATGGAACTGAGTGGAACTAAATCTTTGGAACTGAACAGAGCCTTGCCTTCCCCTCCCTGCCCATTCCTTTCTGTGTCAAGGATGAGCTCAATCAGGACACTGCCTCCTGCTTTTTTTCTGGGAACAGACATGACAGGGAGGCAACAAGTACAACCCTCTTGCTACTCTGGGTGGAGGAATAGATTCTTTCTAAATCTCAGCCGTCTTTTATTTGGCCCAAAGAAGTGGTTCCTTTATCTGATTCCCCAGGGCGACCGAGTCCTCATTTCTCTCACCTTTGTTAATCAATTGGTTTTTGGAGAAGCTTTTATTTTTTTAATTTTTATATATTTTTGGAGAAGCTTTTAGTGCAGTTTGACCTTGAATCCAACTTTTCCTTGAGCATCAGTGGTTAACCCATGAGAGTACCCACAGGAGGGTTGGAGAGAAAAAGACACAGTGGTGCAATCTTGCTTCTGCTCTTTACACCATAGGTCATAATTCCTCCAGTATAAGCCAGAAATGCTCAGTTAGGGAACCAAAGCTTACACTTCATTTTTTCTTTTAATTTGTTTAATACCTTATATAGTCACCCTTTACATTCACATCTCTCCTAACTGGGGTAGGTAGGGCAGTAAAACTCTTGGACCTGAGAAAAAAAGAGAAAAAGTACATAACCAATGGGAGGTCTATGAATAAGCCTCAATATATTCCTTAGCACTTATCATCCTAATGAAAAAAAGGCAAGAATGACTCCCTGAGTACATCTATCTCCTGCTTTATGGATACCTTGAAAGAGACGTAATTGGAAAAATAATTTTAAATTGGTTGATACAATAAAAGTAAATTGCTGAAATGAGTTTATGGTATAGGAATTGCTATCCAACTCATGTCTATTCTGAGGCAGAGAGATACTAAGAAACTTGCCCAATCTCAACCAGTTAGTAAAGGTTAGATTTGGGATTTAAACCCTCTTGCCTTCAAAGTCTGTGCTCACTTATCCCTCTCTACAGCAAATCACCAAAGTTAGAACTCTAACCCAGGTATAAATGACTCTAAATATTCATGCCATTTCACCTTTTAAAGACATTCCACAATCCAAGATTTCTGTCTTATAGAGCGGGGAGGGATAAGAGGAAAAGTATGAGACCTTTTCTACTACTCTTTACATGATAATTTAGCATTTATATAGTGATGGCTATATGTCCTGTACTATTCTTTGCACCAGATATTCAGAGGAGATGGAAACTCCTGCTTTGGAGATAATAGTTTAGCAGGTTGATTGGTCAGTGAGCCAGTGATTTCAAAACAAGTGACAAAGGCTAGGGGAATGTAAGCAGAAGACAGAAGTTCATCTTACCAAAGAAGTCTTTGAACTCGATTTCTGTTTTAAGGTGTGTATTCTGGGAATAAACTGGGGAAGGGTATCACAGACCAAAGACAAAATACCTGCACAGGATCATCCAGAAAACAGAGCAGATGTGTTGGGATAACTGTTCAAGGAGTCTGACAAACTTCGGGAGAAGCAGGGGCAGATCATAGATATGCTATAAACCATGTCCAGCGGTATGGATAGGGTTCCAATACAGTGGAGAATCCTGGAAAGATTTTAAGTTAGGAAAAGCACAAGTTTGGGTTTATATTGCTCTAGTTGCCTTGTGAGGAAGGAATCAAATGGGGACAGAATGGAGGCTGGAAATGTGTAGTAGACTGTGGAGACACCAACAAACAAGACAGGTACACCTTCTATCCAGGTAATTGCCTGATTAACAATCACAATCAGAATAGTTTGAGCCAGGCCCCAAAGAAGTACAGTTCACTGAGGCCAAATTTTTTTTCTCTTTTTCTTTCGTAACTCCGAGATGGGGGAAGAGTGAAATAGGAACAATGTGAAGATTTTAAAAATTAATGGTAGTTTTTGGTTGTTTCGGGTTTTTGTGTTCGTTATTCTCCCTGCATTCCCAGCCTCCTGCCCCCAAGATTTGAAGAAACCATTTCGTTTCAGTTTTATTTAATTGGATGAAGAGGAACAAGGCAAATATCAGGTGGCCGGTTAGCTCAGTTGGTTAGAGCGTGGTGCTAATAACGCCAAGGTCGTGGGTTCGATCCCCGTACGGGCCAACTGGAATGAAATGGTGTTTTTGCTACATTCACACACAGGTGAAAATTCTGGTCTCTTATCCACTGGGGTATCACAATTACTTTCTGAGAGATAAAGCTGGTTGAAATCCTTCATTTCCCCAAAGGTAGAAGTCCTGTAAAGAATCCGCCTGCAATGCAAGAAGACCCGGGTTCCACCCCTGGATCGGGAAGATCCCCTGAAGAAGGGAATGGCAACCCACTCCAGTGTTTTTTCCAGGACAGTCCCAAGGACAGAGGAGCCTGGTGGGCTACAGTCCATGGGTCGTAAAGAGTCAGACACGATTGAGCGACTAAGCGCAGCACATTGAACCCCATCTACAGGGCGAAAGGATAGCAGTAAGTGACCAGCAAGGAAAGTAGAGCAGCTTTGGGCATGTTTTTCCACTGGATAACTGATTCTGCAAAGAAACTGAACTTCTTGTACTATATTCATCTATTAAATAAACTATGAAACCGTTGACGCTTTCTACACTTCCACACTTAGGTTTTAACTAGTTCAGCAAAGGATGAAACAAGGTTTTAAAAATGACAGGTGAAAAAAATGTATTAATATTAATACAGCAGTAAAGAAAAGTGAAAGTTGGACAGTAGCCCGCCAGGCTCCTCTATCGAATTATCCGGGTAGAGTGGGAAGCCATTCCCTTCTCCAGGGTGTCTTCCCCACCCAGAGATCAGAGATCGAACCGCAGCTTCCCACATTGCATTGCAGTCAGATCTTTACCATCTGAACCACCAGGTAAAAACAGCTTCTTTAATCATCTCTTCAGCAAAGAGTCAAAGGTCCGTCTAGTCAAAGCTATGGTTTTTCCAGTAGTCATGTTTGGGTAAGAGAGTTGGACTACAAAGAAAGCTGAGCACCGATGAACTGATGCTTTTGAACTGTGGTGCTGGAGAAGACTCTTGAGAGCTCCTTGGACTGAAAGGAGATCCAACCAGTCAATCCCAAAGGAGATCAAGCCTGAATATTCATTGGAAGGACTGATACTGAAGCTGAAACTCCAATACTTCGGCCACCTGATGTGAAGAACTGACTCATTGGAACTGACCCTGATGCTGGGAAAGATTGAAGGCAGGAGGAGAAGTGGATGAGAGGATGAGATGTTTGGATGGCATCACCGACCCGATGGACATGAGTTTGAGCAAGCTCTGGGAGTTGATGAAGGACAGGGAAGCCTGGCGTGCTGCAGTCAATGGGGTCGCAAAGAGTTGGGCACGATTGAGCGACTGAACTGAACTGAACTGAACTGTCTCTTTATAAGAGGAAAACAGCTGTCAATGGCCAAACCTGGAACACTTAGAACTACAAATAATATGGTTTGGGATTATAATCCAAAGTGCAGTGTAAAATACATATTCATAAATCCATACTGATATAAATAAATGATTGAAAAATAAGTCAGTGAATATAGCAGAAGGGATACTTTTCCTTTAAGAAAGAATCCAACCTAAGTAAGTAAATAATCCCCTGACCCACCCAAGACCCATCCATGGAGCTTAATTCCCTCCCTTCTGGAATATGGGCCATGCTCAGTGACTAGCTTCTAAATAGTCCAGTGTTAGTGTTAGTTGCTCAGTTGTGTCCAACTGTTTGGGACCCCACGGAGTGTAGCCCGCCAAGCTCCTCTGCCCAAGAGATCCTCCAGGCAAGAATACTGGAGTGGGTTGCCGTTTCCTTCTCCTAGTCCAGTACGAAGTAGGAAAGCGTAGGCACTTCAAAAGGGAGAAAAATGGCAAATGCTACTTTAAAAGTGATCAAAGTTGACATCACCAATGGTAAGCCATGCTCCTGTCATGTAACATCTGATATAAAGTGATGAGACAAGTACTTTATCTCTTTGTTCTCTCCCAAAAACCTATAACCTCAAGCTGTCACATGAAAACTATCAGACAAACCTAGACTGGAAGATAGTCAAGTATCCACATCAAGAAACAGTCACAGACCAGGGGAGGCTGAATACAATGTAGGATCTTGGCAGGGGTGGGGTTAGACAAAGTCAAGAGTTTAGTTATTAGTAATATATCAACATTGGTTTCTTAGTTTTAACAAAGGTACCAAGGTAATGTAAGAAGCTAATATTAAAGGAAACTGGGTAATGGGTATAAGGAAATTCTGTTGTCTTTGGAACTTTTAGAAAATCACTTCAAAATAAAGATTTAATTTTCAAAATTCTCATAGAAAGCATGTCTTTTTGCCACCACTTAAATCAGCATCAACACAAATGCCTGGTTGAGAGTAGGTCTATGATAGGTAGTTGTTAAAAGTTGAAGGAATGATGTCTTCTTTTGGTGAGGGATATGCAGAGATGATTACATGGTGATATGTGCAAGATGGTATATTCTTGTCCTGCAGAATATTCTCCCAGAGTCCCATTCCCATACTGAAATGCAAACCAGACCAATAACATTCATCTTCAACCTATAAAAGACATCTGAAATGGAGCTATATGGTTTATGTTGAACTTGAAGCTCAGTGGGTTTCTCTCACAAAGTTTCAAACCACACCTGAAATGTTTTCTTTCCCAGCTTGACCCTAAAATATTTCCATTTGTGTCAATAAACATCTTAACCACTTCTCTTTGTTACATCTTGCCTGGCAAAACTGAGGTCATCTATCACACAGTGGTCCCTCTATAAAATCCAAGTTTTTCAGACAGAACAGTGGCCAGTGCAATGTTTTCTTGTGGAGCCTTCACAGAGCTCATGCTTTTTTCAGGGAATATTAATCACTCCTTCTTTTTTGAACTTGAATAATTCAGATTACATTAATGCTGGGTGGGTTTTTCCCTTTTATTTTTACTATTTTAACAAAGCTTTTAAAAGGATGGAAAGCAAAGCGCTGTGAGTGAAAATATTCTACAAGAGAAATATTCAAAATTATTAGATTGGGGTGGGATTGCAACCAAGGAAACTAGAGTGCCATTTTATTATACTTGAACACCTAAGGTGGGGGTGATGTTTCCGTGGTGTGGTGCTTGGCATATTCGCTTAACACGTGAAAGGTCCCCAGGTCAAAACCGGGGGGGGGGGGGGGAGACAGCTCACTTTTCTGGTTTTTGTCACCTTACTGGCAAGTACAAAACTTT